GTTTGCCCTCAGGGGACCCGACCACTTGGCTTGACGTCTCTTGGGTGAGCAACTTGCTTGTTCTTGTAGTAATCAGCTGGCTTGTCTTTATTGTTTTGTATTTCCTGTTGTTCTTTCTTTCAAGAACTATCTTCTGTTCTTGTAGCTGCTCCAGTCTGGTCTGCTTATCCTTTCAAGTGAAAATTTCCCACCTCAGAAGATTCTGGATAGGGTTCAGGCTTCCACCTACGGTCTTATGTAATGCAGAGGCTCTGAGGAAGCCTCCTCACTGGGCACGTTGTAGCCCCAATTTTAGGTATTCCAATCAGTTATAGGCAGAAGGCCAACTTACAAGCTTTCTATGGTGATATTTCTGGCAGTTCCTTTCTCTCCCCCTCACGTGTCTATTTTATAATGGTATGTGAGGGAAAACAAGATTCAAAACACAGCCAAGCATCTTAACATTATTTCCCCCTTTTGCCCATTCCAACCATGCCTCAATCCCTGCATCCCAGAGCCCTGTTGCTCTGATGATGTGCGTACATCATTATTTACCTCTGTCCCACTTAGCCCATGCAAATCTGCCTAATTGTTTTCCTGTCCACTTTGTTCTTCCATTACCCTCCCCCTTCTTGTGTATTGCCCCCCTCCCAAACTATCCTGTGTCTATTCCCTACTCTGTGCTCCACCTTCCCCTCCCTCCCCTTACCCCACCCCCACAACCCAGTAACCAGCAAAGAATCTCCCCCCCTTTAGTATGGGTTTTTTTTCTTAGTTTTTTACAGTAGTGGCCTTATGCAGCATTTATTCTTTTGTGACTGACTAATTTCACTCAACATAATGTCCTCAAGGTTCATCCATGTTATGCTTCCTTGTTGTTTCTTGTTATTCTTCAAGGTAGCATAATATTCCATTGTGTGTATTTACCACAGTTTGTTTATCCATTCTTCAGTTGATGGGCACTTAGATTGTCTTCATCTTTTTGCTATTGTAAGTAGTGCTGTTATGAACATTGGTGTGCATATATCTACTCGTTTTATGTCTCGTATTTCTTGTGGGTAAATACCAAGTAGAGGAATGGCTGGATCATAAGGTATTTCTATTTCCAACCTTCTGAGGAAGTGCCATATTGCTTTCCAGAGAGGTTGGACCATTTTGCAATCCCACCAGCAATGCAGGAGCATACCAGTCTCTCCACATCCTCTACTTTTTAAATCTTTGCTGTTATTGCTGGTGTGAGATGATATCTCATTGTTGTTTTAATTTGCATCTCTCTAAAGGACTTCATTCTTCTTGGATCAAATATCAACACTCACGGAAACAGCAGTCAAGAAATCAAACGACATATTGCATTAGGCAAATGTGCTGCACAAGACCTTTTGAAAGTGTTGAAGAGTAAAGATGTCAGCTTGAGGACTAAGGTGAACCTGACCCAAACCATGGTATTTTCAATAAACTCATATACATACGAAAGCTGGACAGTGAATAAGGAAGACCATAGAAGAATTGACGTTGGAGGAGAATATTGAACATGCCATGGGCTGCCAAAAGAACCAATAGATCTGTTTTGGAAGAAAGTGCAGCCAGAGTGCTGCTTGGAGGCTCAGATGGCCAAACTTTGTCTCTCATACTTCAGACATATTGTCAGGAGGGATCAGTCGCTGGAGAAGGATATCATGTTTGGTAAGGTGGAGGGTCAAAGAAAAAGAGGAAGATCCCCAGCGAGATGGATTAGCCAAGTGGCAGCATTGATGGACTCAAGCGTGGCAACAGTAATGAGGTTGACCCAGGATCGGGCAGTGTTTTGTTCTGCTGTGCATAAAGTTGCTTTATGAGTCAGTACAGACTAAATGGCACCTAATAACAACAAAATGGCTGGTGGTCATGAACATTTCTTCATATGTGTGTTGGCTGCCTGGATCTCCTCATTGGTGAAGTGTCTGTTCATGTCCTGTGCCCATTTATCTTTTTTTTGTAGAGGTGTTGTAGTTTCCTATATATTTTAAAAATGAGTCCCTTGTCTGATGTGTCATTGCAAAAGATTTTTCCACATTCTGTGGGTTCCCTTTTTACTCTTCTGGTGAAGTCTTTTGATGCACATAAGTTTTTAATTTTTAATATGTCCCAATCATCTATTTTGTCTAGTTTTGCTTGTGTAGTTTTCAAAATGTTTGGTAGTCTGAATTCCCTGAATTCGTGCTCTCACATTTGTCCCTATTTTTTCATTTATGGCCTTCATAGTTCTAGCCCTAGCCCTAGCCCTAGCCCTAGCCCTCTTTTTTTTTTTTTTTTTCACCCCCTCTATTTTTGCAAAGACTACATTTACAGAGATACGTGGCCACTAAAGTCTCCATTCCTTAGCTTGTATTCAGCTAGCATTTTAACAGAGAAATAAAAAAGAAAAAGAAAACCAAACCAAAGCACAAAAAACATCTCTCCCAGTCTTTGCAGATTGGCTCTGTGCCAGGACTGTACTTTCAACACATACACAGGCTTGAATGAAACACCGGGAGCAGCCAATGGTAAGAGCCGAAGTTCTCGGTATTATCTAGCGTATGTATTTCCCTGGATATGCGTTTGGCTTTCTAAATTCTCCCATATATGTGATGCTGTTGAATGTTGTGATTTTCCAATAAAACTCTTCCGAGGTTCTCTTCCCAGTCGTTTCATATCTATTGTATGGCTCATGGCTACAGTGCTTGGAATGTGGGCATTGCTTTTCAGCTCTTTGTGAGCTTCAGTTGTTCTTTGGCAAAAGAAAGAGTTCCAGCAGCCCCCAGACAGGTTACAGTGGAAACACACAGTAATTTGCAAATGTGGTCTGCTGTTTCTGCCAGAGCCCAGGGTCAGGTTCCCTCTCTGGGAATATGAATGGCTGCAACTTTAAAGCTGCCATTGAGCTGGGAAAGGGCTGAGGGATGGGTGAGTAGAAATCACCATAAGGCTTTTCCTGAAATAGTCTTTTTTCTTGATTCAGAGTTAGCTAACTTGCTGTGACTAGTTTCCAGAGTTCTAATGAAATTTTTCTGCCAGATTCTGGTTGTTTCTTGGGGTTTCTGTGAGGGAAAGTGAGCATGTACAGAACTTCTCACACTACCAACTTGCCACAACCCCCACTGTGGAGCAATGAATAATCTAACTCACTGCTCTGTTGTTATTGTTAAGTGCTGTGGAGTTGGTTCCGACTCACAGCAATCCTGTATAGGGTTTCCAAGGAGCAGCTTGTGAGTTTGCACCACCAACCTTGCAGTTCAAACCAACCTTGCAGTCCAGTGTAAAATGTACAATCCCTTCGGAAAATAGGCAGTTTCTTAAAAGTTAAACATACCTATCATGGGAACTAACCATTTCATTCCTGCATACTAACCCAAGGGGGTGGGGGTGGGGAGGAATATGTCTACACACAGATTTGTCCACACATATTCATAGAAGCTACATTTGTAATTGCCCAGAATTGAATACAACACAAATGTCTAGCACAAGGTAGATATATATACAGATTGTGGTATATCCCTAAAATGGGTATTATTTAGCAATAAAAAGAATGTATTGATATATGTAGAGTCCTGGTGTGGCATTGTGGGATACAGCACTGGATCCCAAGGTCGATTTGAACCTCAAGGTCGGCAGTTTAAACTCAGCAGTCACTCCTTGGAAACCCTATACAGAGTCACTATGAGTCCAAACAACTTCGACAGCGTTTAACAGCAACAACAATACTGGTGTATGTAGATGTATACTAGCATATGAGCAAATCTTAATGTAATTTTGTTGATTGGAAGAAGGTAGACAATAAGTACATCCCGTGTTATTTTATTTATATACAATTCTAATAAATACAAATACATTTACAATGACAGAAAGTTTGAGGAGGAGCAGGGAGACAGTGAAAAGAGGCTGCAGGAAACTTCAGGGGTGATGGAGGTTAATGATTTTGAATTTGGTGGTGGTCTTATAGCCAGTTATCCAGTTGCCATTGAGTTGTTTCCAACGCACGGTAACTTCATGTGTGTCTGACTAGAACTGTGCTCGCTAGGGTTTTCAATGGCTGATTTTTCAGCAGGTGATTGCTAAGCTTTCTGCTGAGGTGAGGAAACACTTGAACCTCCAATGTTTCCATTAGCAGCTGAGTACACTGACCATTTACACCATCCAATGACTGGGTAGTTGTATGGGTGGTACTGTTGAGTAAGTACCAGACTGTGAATCACAGAGTCGGTGGTTCAAACCCACCACCTGCTCTTGGAAACCTTATACAGGGTCTCTATGAGTCAGAACCAACTTGACAGCACTTAAAAACAACAACAACTACAGTAAAAACTCATCAATTTATGTGATTTATGTGGAACGTGTTATATATCAATGTTGTTGTTGTTGTTGTTATGTGCCGTGGAGTCGGTTCCAACCCATAGCGACCCTGGATAGGGTTTCCAAGGAGCAGCTGGTGAACTTGAACCACCAAACCTTGCAGTTCAAATGGGTTTGTAGTCTGGCACATAAACCCACACCACACCAGGATGCCATAGTACCTCAATAAAGCTGTTAAAAACAAAAGGAAAACAGATCCCTAAATTGAAATTTATGACAAGAAACTATGGAAGAACCCAGGACCATGTAGAATCATTGTCATGAATTCTAAAGGGTAGGCACCACAGTTGGGTAAGAGATGGAACGTGGAAATGCTAGCGCCACTGGGGTCTCATTCGTAGTCGTGGATTTGCGGAGCCAGTAGGGAGTTAGGAGAAGATGAAGCTCTACTCTCTCATGTTAGAGAAAAAGCCCTAAGTATTGAGGTATTCACTAAAGTTTCATAGTTCATCTGTGGTAGACTCAAGGCTGGACTTCGTCTCCTGGATCCTTGTCCTTTGTTCCTGCCACTCTCCACACCAGTCAGTCCACATAAGCACTATCTGCCTTAGATCACTAACTTTTAGAAGATAGAAGTTGGCTGGGATAAGCTGAGGGAAGGAAGCAGATGAGGTGGAGGGAGCAGGGGGAGGTCAGTCCTGGGTAGGTCCTGGTCAGAACTGGGCATCTCTTCTCTGGGCACAGGCTGGGCAGCAGCACTCTCTCTTTTTGTAATCCGTGGAACAGGCATGGCAAACTAGGCCTCCACAGAGCCTGGGGCAGAGACACAGAGGACAGGGGAAGCCGGGGAAGCCTGTGAAGCCTGGCCTGGGGGAGTGTGGGGGCATGTGGAATGCAGTCAGGGAGTTCAGACATCTCCAACATACACCTGTCTGCTTCTTACTTCCCGGTGGAACAGCCCTTGGCCTGTTTCAGGAGGTTTTCCCTCTCCTGAAGGATCTTCTGAGCTTCCTCTCCACCCCCCCCCAGAGCTCTCTAACTCAAATGATCAGTTCTCCTGAGGGAGGACTATCTCTCCTTTCTCTTCCTGCTTGTCCTTTCACTGTGTGCAAGAAGTCTCTTCCCAGAGAAGGGAACCATTAATCAGTCTACTCCCTGAAGGTTGTACGATTCCATATTCCAGAACCCAATTCTATTGCTGTTGGAAGTCACATGGAATAAAATGACTGGTCAGTTTTAAGAAGCCTTTTATAAATACACAGTTCCTGTGAACTCCACTTGTCTAGAGTGGGAAGGGGGGCTGTAGCTTGTGGAAACTTGGTTGTCTCAGGGGATGGATTCTGTACCCTTCCCACATACCTGCATGGATACCGCCGAGATAGCCGGCCAAAGATCTTGCTGCAGCTGACACAGCATCCAGGAACCACAGAAGAGAGATGCTGGACCTTCTGCCACAGGTTGTCTTTCTCTCTGACGGGGGAATGGAGGTGAACACACACACACACACACACACACACACACATATGAAGGTAGGAGATGGAAGTAGGTATAGATGGAGAGACAGGGACAGAATGAGCAATACAGAAACAAAAGGAAGAGAGAGAATGAGTGACAGAGAGGCCACACAGCGATACACATACAGAGACAAAAAGAGATGAGGAACAGAGATCGACAGGCAGACAGAGAGAGTGAGACAAAGAGGAACAGATAGAGAGGAACAGAGAGACGGAGAGACAGAGAGTAAGATTCAGAGACAGAAAAGTTGACAGGGGCAGAGAGAAATGAACACACACAGAGAGAGAGAGAGAGAGAGAGAGAGACAGAGAGAGAGACAGAGAGACAGAGAGACAGAGAGAGAGAGAGAGAGAAGTGAGTTCATCTCTAGATTTCAGGAGCTCCCTCTAATTACATAAACATGACCTATTAGTTAAGAACCTGCTGGTTCTTGCTTTAACCCCATAAACACACAATGCCTGTTACCTTTTATTTGGCACTTTGTAAAACACTATTTTGCATTTATGTATCTATGCTTATGCCCTTGCTGAACTTAATCTTTACTTTTTAAAAAAGGGTGTTTAGGAATATATTTTTATTGTTGTTAAGTGCCATGGAATCATCTGCGACTTATAGTAACCCTGTATATGGCTTCCAAGGACTGGCTGGTGAGCTTGAACTGCCAACCTTGCAGTTCAAACAGACCTTGTAGTCCATCGCATTAACCTGCATCGCCACACCAGGACTCCATTTAGGAATATGTGGTGATAGTGGTGGTGTGCCATGGAGTGGGTTCTGACTCATAGTGACTCTGTTTAGGGTTTCTGAGACTGTAAGTCTTTACGGAAGCTGGAAGCCTCATCTTTCTCTCATGGAACAGCTGGTAGGTTCAAACTGCCAACCTTGGGGTTAGCAGCTTGACTTGTAACTACTAGGCTACCAGAGCTCCTTATTTAGGGATATAGGTTAAGTTTATTTAAAAAATTTATCAAAACAATACATGCATATCTTTTAAAATAAAAAAGTGTAGAAATGTTTATATCAAAAAACACCACATGCTCTTCCCACTCCTTCCAACTCTTAGTGGAAAATTATTTCTTACATCTTTTAGATTTTTTTCTTCTTGATGGTAGTTCCATATGTAAGTAGTATGCTTATATACCTCCTTCTTGATTTATCAGTGGAGAACATTATCTATAGATGTCCATGATATAAAAATAAATCAGCTAATGTATTACCATCCCTGTAATCCTGGTGTGGTACTGCAGGATAATTCACTGAACCACAGGGTTGGTTTGAACTGCAAGGTTGGCTGTTCAAATCCACCTGCTGTTCCTCAGAAACTCTATCTAGGGTCACTATGAGTCAGAACTGACTCGATGACAATGAACAACAACAACAACAACAATTGCCATCCCTACTATCGTCTCTTTTCCCCTCCTAATATAGTTAATTATATCCTATTTTTTTGGTTCCTCTGCAATTTCCCATAAGATACTCACATATATATTGCTTATTCTATTAACTATGGATAGAATGTTTTGACTCCTATTTTGTAACATAATGGTACCAGCATCCCTTTCTTTTAGCTTATCTACTCTTACCTCCTAACTTGTCATTTATTTCTACAGTATCCAATATGGTAGCCATATGTGGCTATTTAAATCTATATGAATTAAAATTAAAGAAAATTAAAACTTCCTCTCCTCAGCGACATCAGTCACATGTCAAGTGCTTAATATCTACATGTTACTAATAACTGACATTCTAGACAACACAAATACATAACATTTCTATCTCCATAAAAAGTTCTTTTGTATACTATAGTTTCTATTGTTAAGATTAGTAATATTTACATTCTGTTCATTATTTCATTTATCGTCTGTGCTTTGCCTTTTTGTTGATCCCAATATTGAAAAAAATCAATTACTATTACTTCCTGTGACGCTAAGATGTATTCTATGATCAAATGTCCCTGTTTACTCTTCTAGGAGTTTCCAATTGCTTTCCTGTATCCCTGCATTACTTGTCTTTAACATAGCCTATGTTAAATCTTCCTATCAGACATTCTGTTGATTCCTCCTCTTCACAGAGATCTTCTGCTACCACCAGGACTGGCTGCTTACTTACTGTGTCTGATGCCCACTTGTCATCTTGGGAATTGTCTTATCTCCCGGAATGGAGCTAAACCTTCTTTCTTGACACACTTCCTTGTTTTTCGGAAGTACATTCTTAATTTCCTAAGAAAGGTTGTGAGGGAGGTAAATAGTCGCAGATCTGTCTGTCTGGAAAATGTTTTCATTCCATTGTCTTCCCTGCTTGAATCATAGTTTGGATGGACATGGAATTCTAGAGTAAGAATCAATTTCTCTCAGAACTTGTAAAACATTCCACCATTGACCCCTGACGTTCATTGGACTCTCCTTTAATTGGTAAGCTCTTCTTTTCTACAGACAATTGTAGAATTGTCTCCTAATCTTTATTTTACTGAATTTTTACAATTGATGTATTTAGATGTGACTCTTCATTTTTCTCTTCTGTTTCTTCCTTCCTTCTTTCTTTCTTTAATTGTGTTTGTCACTTAGTGAAAATTTTAAATCTGAAGATCTGAGCTGAGAAATTTCTAATATTTTTATTTAATAATTTGTTCCATTTTATTCTCTCCTTTTTTGGAGATCATGTCAGTTAGAGAGGATGTTAGAACTCCCAGATTATTTTTGTAGCTAATGATTTCCTTCATCTTCCATCTTTATGTGTTTTTTTTTCAACTTTCTGAGAGTCTGCTGATATCTGTCTTCCAATCCTTCTAGTGAATTAAAGAAAATTCAGTGATCACATTTTGTATTTCCAAGAACTCTTCTTATCCTTTGATACTGATTTTTATAGCATCCTCTTCAAAGGAAGTGAGCTTGTCTTGAATCTCTCCATCTTTTTGAAAATATTAGGTTGTTTTGTGTTTAAGTTCTTTTTGTCTCTTCAATTATCTATACTTTCTCCCTGGTTCCTTGTTCGCTTATTTATCTTTGTTCTCCCTACCCCACCCCCCGCCTCTGAGTTCTGGACTCTCCTCAAATGTCTGAGAATGCTTGGTTCCCATTGCTTGTTTAAGTAAGAAGCAATAGAAAAGATCTAGAAACCTGCTTGGTCATTTTTGTTGTGTGCCACTGAGTTGATTTGGACTTCTTGTGACCCATGTGACAGAGTAGAACTGCATTATAGGGTTTTCTAGGCTGTCATATTTATGGGAGCAGACTGTTTTTTTTTTTCTCAAGGAACTGCTGTGTAGGTTCATACATGGACATTTCGGTTACCAGCTGAGTGCTTAAATGTTGAGCCATCAGGGTTCCTTTGGTAATTGTTGTTAAGTGCCATGGAGTCAGTTCTGACTCATAGCATCCCTGTATAGCAGGGGAGGGGAAATCAAGGCAACCATAGTTCTAGCTATCACATTGTTGTTACTGCTGTTAAGTGCCATCAAGTCAGTTCCAAATTCATAGTGGCTCTGTATAGGGTTTACACGGAGTGGCTGGTGAGTTTTAGCCAC